AGGGCCGGGGAGTGCCTGCCACCGAGCCACCCGCTGGCCACCAAATCCCTCAGCCGGGGACAGGCCCTCCCGGCCGGCTGAAACGCGGGTCCTTTCATCCCGGGGCAGTCAAGAATAATCCTGCCCTTGTCTACGTTCCTTGGCCCACGGCGACGCCTCTGTGGAGACGGGCCCGACCCGGTGGCTGCCGAGGTTTATTTTGACCTCTAAATAAAGAGTTTGGAAGGGGAGAGAGACTGCGTAGAGTGAATTTAAACCCCCTCGTGCAGTGCCTGGCAGCTGGCTGGCTTTCCCAGGCCCTTCAATGAGGCAGGGTTACCCACTGATCACAGCCCCATGCCTGAAAACATCTCTGAGCAGGGAGTACAGGCTGCACAGCGCCGTTCTGTAGGGATTTACACCGTTTCTGACAGAGCAGGCTCCCAGGCAACTGAACTTCTGTTAAACAGTGCAAAAGCATCAATAATACGCTTCTTAATACCAGAATCCAGGTTTGCAACACAAAAACCAAGTCTCCCAGACACATTTAACCAAGGCTGAAGCGAGTCACTAGTGCCACGTTTAATTGGCACAAATGCTATGTAAAACAAGTTCAAGTATCTTTGTGCTGAACCTTAAAGGTCTGGTTTGCTAAGGGCGAAGAGTGCCTCAAATGAGCATCCAGCCTAGCTCACTGAATGTGTGTTTACACACAAAGTCAGCAGCACACCTCCAGGGAATTTTGTTGTGCTAAGGCCACATGACGTGGGGCTTCATGAATGAGACTAAGAAAAATCATAATTTAAAAGAAGGATTTAAAAACCCCCAAACATATAAAGGAACCACGGTGTATGACTGTTGCTTTTTTTTTTCTGTTGAAGCAAGGAATTGTAACCTAGAGCAAAAATATGTTCAAAAGGCATAGAGTCAAATCATAAGCCACCTGTTGACTGCAACAAATGAAAGGGGTATTTTTATCAGTAAAAGGAGTAGATTCAGATGTTACATTTCATGCCACATCTCTGGGTTGGAACAGAGAGAAACTATTTAAAATGAGTGCTGAGTGTGCAGAAGAGAGCTTGGAAATGCAAAGGATTTTCTCTGCTTTCTTGAGAACTGAAATTTCCTACATGTTACACATGTATATGTATGAAGAGAGAGTAATTTCCTTTTTTTGGATTGCCACTCATGCTCTGTGATGCAATTCTAAAAATGCACTCCCCCATCCTCTTCTCAGTACAAACTGGGAGTTGAGAATGACTCAGCATTTCCAAGTAAAACATGTTTTCCTCATTATATGGGGATATTCCCGGACATTCAAGACCCAATATTATTTTTTTTAAAATAGAAGAAAATACACTGAATGAATAGGAGAAGTGAGGAAAGAATTGTGTCCCAAAGCCCTTGAAGGAGGAAGTCTAGATGGATTTTAAATACAAAGAAGTTTCAAAATAAGATTAATTTGAAAGGAAAGGTGCCATGTCACAGCTAATCAAAGGTGTGCTCACAGGGCAAAACCTGTATGAACAAGTACCAGGAAATCAGACGCGGTGGATAAATTCCAAAACTTAAGGAGATTTACCTGGTGGATTTATTTTAAAAGGACACATACTCAAGTATACAGGCTTAGCTTTCCCTGTGAAATCTTAAGCAGCTCCCACAAAGATCTAGGTTTTACAATAAAATCTTCTTCTCAATTATATTTAAAGCATAAATTTGCCTTTTCTAGAGCTTAATACTATAACTGAAATGTTATTTCTACTGAAAACCCACAGTGGTGCCAGGCCAAAATTTTACACTTTGATAAAATTATCTTCACAGGACACTCTAGATAAATGAACTGCTTTACAGCACAGGATTCCCATTTGAAGAGGCAAATAATCCCATTCCAACCACTGAGGAAATCAGGCAGATAATACAGGCTTAGTGGTTTGCAGTGTTGAAGTGCTGCCTATTTCCTGAATAACACTGGTTTCCACTGTTACCATCAAGTTACTTCAGTGCCTGGACAATATCAGCCCAGAGATGGAGAGCAGGTGATCAGACCTGAACCCAAAGGAACAAATGCCTGCTGCTGAGCTGAGGGGAGCATTGTGGAATGGTTGTAGTCGGGTCTCTGGTAGCTGGGCAGGTAAACTGAAGGAAAGGCTTTCTAGCTGTACGCTTAACCAGGCTGTTCCACCTCAGTCAGGTGGGGTACATTTAAGTTTCCTGATATGCAGGTGCAATTTAGAAGCTGAGCCTGTTTTCTGCTAGGTTTGCTCTGAGAATACAGATGCTTTTCTATTTCTTTTCTATTTTCTTTTAAATCCTGTAATTAATGATAGATTAACATGTAAGACAAGCAGAGATTTTTTTAAATAACAATCTTTAATTGATATGCCTGGATTGGAAAAAATCATGAAAGTTTTTTACATTATTTTTCTTCTGTTTCTGAGGTATGTATTAGAACCAGGATAGGTTCTTTTCATCCCTTTTGATGTAGTAGGTTTGATGCTGAAGCAGGAAAAGATAAGGGAAAGTGTCTTATGTTGCAATGCAAGACGTAACCAAAAGTTTGTATACCATACATATATTTTACCAGCTGTTAAAATCAAGTGGGGCACTGTTCTTTATCTCTTCCATGACCCATCCTCCCTCCAGGGGGATCTCTTCTGTTAATGCTCCATTGAGTCTCACTGCATGACTGATAAAATTACATCATCCCATTGGGAGCTGCTCCACCCAGGGGAGGAGCCAAGCATTCCTACCTGGATATAATCTGAGACTTGGAACACCACAGGCAGCTTTTCTCCACTGGTTTTCCAGAGAAAAGACTGGACCCATCTACACCACCATTGGACCTTCAGAGGAAAACTGATCATTGCTTCAACAGAACCACGTCTGTCACTCCAGGAGGACTGCAGCCACCATTTAATCAGACTGCTACCAACACCCTGACCTGACTCTGTTAGCAGGTTTCTTTGTGCTACTGCGTTTTTATCTTAATCTTCCTAGTAAAGGACTGTTATTTCTACTCCCATATCTTTGCCTGAGAACCCCTTCATTTGAAAATTATAATAACTCAGAGGGAGGGGGTTTACGTTTTCCATTTCAATGAAGGCTCCTGCCTTCCTTAGCAGACACCAGTCTTTCAAACCAAGACAGAAAGTCTAAAATAGCTACTGAGAGACTCTTCCTTTTAAAGCTTTCAACTGCCCATCTTAATTTAACT